CAGACTTACATAAAAAGGAATAAAAATGAATAGTTGACTACTAGCCAGTAATTTGTCATGGGTTGAAAACAAGGATTTAGCTTATATGCCTAGCCTGAAGAAAACCTGCCACTGCTCATCCATGGTCAAAACACAAATCACTGCTTGAAGCATGTGGTCCTCCTCAACCCAGTTGGCTTTTGGAGAAGTCTAGAATGGATGCAGTTTGCGATTCCTATAAGCCATTGATTTCCCAATCATATCACAGATTCTATTAAATTAGAATCTCTTAGAGTAGGATCCATGCATAGCTATTTTTTTCTTTTTTCTTTTTGCTTATGTGGTGCTGAGGAATCGAACCCAGGGCCTCATGCATGCAAGGCAAGCGCTCTACCACTGAGCCATCTTCCCAGCCCCATGCATAGCTATTTTTGAGAGATCTCCAAGTGATTTGATTTTTAAGACAAGTTTAATGACTACAGCAATAACTGCTTCTCATATTTAATGACCCAACCCAAAGCCATAGCTGTAAAAAAATATCTCTCTGACATCATTGGTTGAAGTGGGCTCATTAATGGACTCATTCAGTCCCACCCTCTTCCTGGAATACTCTTCCTGAGTTCTTAGTTTAGTTTAAGCTGCTTTTCTCTACCTCAGGAACATTCTACTTGTGTTCTCACTTGTTGGATAGTTCCAGATATTTATGGTTCTCACTTAATAACTTGGAAGGTGACAATTTCCTGTTGAGAAACTGTGAATAAGGTCATCTAAATTACACCTCTGTATCTAAGGAATAAGAATCACCAGTAACCAAATAGAAAGACACGGTTCTAGGCCCCATGCAGGTTTTTCAAATTAGAACCTACATTTAATAAGATCCTCAGGATCTGAAAGCACATTCATGCTTGAAATGTATTGTCCTAGAGCACCATTCCCTAGAAAAATTCATTAAAGAGTAGTCTCAAAAAGTATAAGTTACTACTAATGTTCAAATCCATATTTTTCTCTTTATGGGACATTTGTGCATTTAAAACTCACTTATTATGTGACAAAGACATGTCCTATCTCATGCTTTGTTTAGAGAATCTAGCAGTAGAGATGGATAAAGTAGTCCCACCTTTCCATGTCTGGATTCAATATCTAACAGGGATTAACAAGGAAAGACAAGTATGCTTGCATCTGTAAAAGGGATGAGTAGGATGCTGTGGTCTGATGTACTTCATGCAGCGTATCAAGAAAGCCACTGGAGTATTCCTGGAGATGAGAGCTGTTCTATATGGATGACCGATAGGCTGAGTATCCAGGAAAGGTATAGGAAGGCAACCAGTATCAGTGAGTGCTTCCCTTATGATTATTAGCTATATCACTATTAGCTATATTTTATAAATGAAGAATCTGGGACAGAGAGAGATAATAATATACCTGTGACAGAGAAAACTTGGAAATCCAAATCTAGCCACCTGCCTCCAACATTTATCTTCTTAGTACTTAACTGAACCTTCTTGAATTGGGAAGAATATGGCAGGACATAATTGAGGAACTAAAAGAAGAGCCACAAGCCCAGAGTTAAAACAAGGTTTGTTCATAGACCTATAGCTATTGTTCTTTAGAAAAGTTTATTCCTCAGGGCTGTAGCTTCTTAGAACTGTACATTTCTGGCAATTCTATCCTATGGCAATTAGACCAGAGCTTCTAATTATAGATCTGGAAACCTTCATTTTAACAATGCTTTCAGGTGATTCAGATACAATAAAGTTTGAGCACCATAGAATTAAAAGCATCATTTCTTCCCAAAGTCTCTCCATCTCATAGTGTCCGCTAATTAACCCATGGTTATTTAATAATATATTGGTCTCAAGGTATGAGCAAAACACAAGGATAAATAGGATTAAAGAGGAAAACTGAAAGAAATCTGAAAATTGAATCTTTTCTCCTCCAGGTCTCTGACTGCCAAGCTGTGAAAAGAATTATCTAGGCTTGAAAAGTTCGAGGCAAAAAGATACCACAGAGGTTTAGAATTATTTTCATTACAATGCCAACCATTTAGACAACTAATTCAATCTCTGGAAACTGGAGTAAAATTTAAACTTGCTCGAAGAACAGTTATTTCATATGCTGCCCTTAGCCAAAGCTAGGAAAAGACTCTCGGACTGCAGAGATCTTTTTTGACTGTTGAACAAATGGAATAGAAGGGCCTGGAGAAATCTCTGGTCTCCAGGGTGCATGGGATCAGCAAAGTTAATTTGTCTTCCTGAGTACCAGGGGACTTTGATAGCCACAACACCAAGTTTATACAACCAGGAGGGTATGATTTTTTAAATTCAGGCTTTTACTTTCTTGTTACAAGATAGCAGAGGAATTATGTGATCTCCTGTGAGTGAGAAACTAAAAGAGATACTAGAGCTTCAGTGAAGCCATATCACCATACATTATAATACCCCCTTTAAGTTTTCTAATATTTATCTTAAAAGCTTGAAATGTCTTCAAGGCACTGAATATTTTTAAGTATTAAATATGAAAATTCCAAAAATGAGCTGCCTCTTAAATTCCACCTTTCAAATAGTTCATAATAGAGACAGTAGTTCTTCTGTCCTGTCTCTCTAGACATCATCTTCACCAGCCTGCTCAATTAACACTATTCATATGCTTCATCTACTCCGCATCTCTATTCAAAGAAAATGCTTGGGAGAATTTCAGGAAGAGATTATTGTTTTCATTACTCAGAATATCAGATAAAACTTGGCACTGGTGGCTCTTGACTATAATCATAGCTACTCAGAAGGCTAAGATCTGAGGATCTTAAGTTCAAAGCCAACCCAGGCAGGAAAGTCTATGAGATTCTTATCTCCAATTAACCACCTGAAAACGAGAAGTGGAACTGGGGTTTAAGAGCTCAGGGACAGTACCACCCAGAGTTCAAGACCCATGTCTGGCCAAAAGACAAAAAAAGATCAGATACAAAGTTAACTGTGCTCTCAAAGCAAGTTCTTATTTGCATATTTATTTCTGGATCTGTCTATAAGCAAATCTTATCAGGTATTGCTAACAGCCATTCTGCAGCAAAGTAATTTTAAAAAATTTGTGGTAAAGATTTTTTATTTGGTGTGCGTGTGCATGAGTGTGTGCACATGCATGCCTGTCCTGTGACTTGAACCTGGACTTAGGTGCTATTCCTGAGCAGTTTTGCTCAAATCTAGCACTGTACCGTTCACCATTTGAGCCACAACTCCACTTAAGGCTTTGTTTAGTAGTTAATTAGAGATAAGAATCTGAAAGATTTTCCTGCCAAGGCTGGCTTTAAACCACAATCCTCAGATCTCAGCCTCCTCAGTAGCTAGGATTATATGTTCAAGCCACTGGCTCTTGGCAATGATAAGGAGATTTTGAATGTTTATACAGATGTCACCCCATGACAACTAAGATATTGATGATGACAGCCTTCACTAACCATATGATAGGTGGTTTGAAGGGTCAAGAGCTCTGTGACAATGATCACCATGCTTTCATCAAACTTTTATAAAGCTAAGCTATAAATTTATGTCAGAGGCACTTGGCTGGGATAGTCTAAAGAAAAATATGTGAATTCTCTACACCTCGGACAGGTTCTCTGCAGGTTTATACATCCTTCCTTCTTCCATGGGCTGGTCCAAGAACAGAATGAGAACCACACATTTCTTTTTTCATATATAGTTTTTATTGTAAAATTACTGTACAAAGGGGTTCAGTTACATGTGTAACTGTTACCTCCTCCTTTGTTTTTCCCCTACCATCCCCTCCCTCCCGACCTCCCCAACTCATCCGTGTCCCCCACACCCTGGAAATTGTAAAGTACATTTTCAACACAGTTTTGTACATCTCATTGTTACAATGGGTCAACCTGTATCCTTATTTTAGCATTTGGTTATATCCTTTCCCCTCCCCAAATTAGAAAAATGTATACACCAGATGCAGGGCACAGGAATCAAATATAGTGAAAATGGGTTATACCATGGGGGAAGATCATACAAAAGAAACAAAAAAAATCACATAGTACATAATCCATATATTAAAAACAACAGCAAGAAAGAAAAAACCACTTGTGTCTCTGTCTTAGGGTTCATTTAGCTTAACACCATTTATATGGTCATATGTACAAAGCTTTTGACCTTTTCTGTTTGTCCTAGACACATTCTATTTATTGCAAATAAGGGAAACCATGGGACCTATGGTTCTTTGGACCTGTCTTACTTCACTTAATGTAATTTTTCCCGTCTTTCCATTTCCTAACAAATGGGGGATGTCATTCTTTCTGATGGAGGCATAGAATCCACTGTGTGTGTGTGTGTGTGTGTGTGTGTGTGTGTGTGTGTGTGTGTGTGTGTGTGTGTGTGTGTGTATCACATTTTCTTGATCAAATCATCTACGGAGGGGCATCTGGGTTGTTCCATATGTTAGCTATGGTGAATAATGCTGCTATAAACATAGTTACCATACCTTTCTTGAATGAACATGACCATCAAGAACTGGCTAAAGATAAATAGACAAAGTCTTCTCTGGGCAATAAATTCAGTATGTATTTTTTTTCAGTCTTCCCTTTTTTAGATCTACCTGCTTTACTGTGGTAGTGGTGAAATTCCAGGGACCAAGGCTCAGCTTATGAGTGTAGGAGAATGGGAAAACACTGCTAACTCTAGACGTTAGGCTAAAATTAAGCTAGGGAACTATAGGTAATTGTATTTCTACATGAGCTCTTTCATCAGGGAATTGCAATAGCTTTTGGGAAAGGACCTATTCTTAGAGAATTCCTTCTACAATATATTCCCATATATGCATCTAAGGTATAGATATTAAGAATACTAGATAAAAATATCCCCATACGTAAGTAATCACCATGAGGAAGAAAGAAATATAAACCTTATACTGCCAATATCTGTACTTGTGCACTATTGGTTAACTTATTTTCTCCTGCTCTTCCAAGAGTGATGGAGAGAGTGATCAGATGGTTAGGAAACAAAGGCACTAGGAAAGCAGTATAACCTTACCTGGTTGACACAACCTCGGGCAAGGTGTCCACTCACTGAAAGGAGTCACAACACAGTCTTTCTTGCATGGGAGAAAGCAAGGTCGCAAAGTTTCAGGTCGTGTAGAGTCTGGACATCTGTCAAGGTAAAGAGACGTATCAATGTTTCCTGCAGAGTGTAAGGGATTTAAAATAAATGATGATTTTAGTATAGAAAATACAAAGGCCCTTTTTTCCCTTTGTATAAATGAGGAAAGGACAAGAGGGGTGAAGCTTCTTTTCCAGGAGCAACAACCAGAGACAAAGTCCAAAGCAGCCTTCATCTCTTGGTTGAAACACCTAAATATTTTGAACAAAATAGGAAAAAGTGTCTTGCTATCAGCATCAACTCAAATGACATTTGATTTTTATGAATAGACAAGTTTGAAACATGTTTTGAAATGTGATTGATTTTTCAGGATAGTATATCAGCTTACTCATGTCCAAAAAGAAAAAGGAAGGAAAACATATAAAGACAATATATGGATGTAATGGTAAAAGAAATCATCAAAGTCATTTGAAAATGTTATGTATCTTTGAACATTAGTGAAGTTCTACATTAAATTAATGCATAGACTTTCCATAGGAAAAATAAGTTGATGATACAGGACAAATAAGATTTGACAGACTGAGAATAATGAAACATGAATTCTGAAACATTAGTTCTGTTATTATTCTATTATCATTCTATTATTCTGATAATTAATAGCTATGTTTAGGAAAATAATAGTGCAATCTCTTGAAAGAAATAAAAACCCCAAATGCAGCAAAAATATTTGTATTGTTTGATTATTTGGGGGAAATGGGTTAAAACTCACGTGAAAATTTTGTATAAGAATCATACATAAAGAAAGATAGCAGGGAAGCATGTAATGTGTCTTTGGGGTTTATTGTTGATTCTTAAGGCTCTCTTACAAAGCAGAGTGATGTAGTACGTGTTAAAGCTAACTTGCATGATCAGTATATTAGTGTGCTCTGGCACACTAGTTCCTGTTATTAATACTAATAGCAGTAAAAGTAATTCTCTTCATCTTATATAAGAAAAAGCACAAAAATAACAAATACTGTACCAAAAACTCCATGGAGTTTTTGAAAGAAAATAAAGGCAAACACATGATGACCCAAACACCAAACTAGGAAGTCTGTTGATTAAACATATAATTAACAGATTTTCACTAGAGGAGAAGAGAGAAAATGCAGGACATAACAAGGAAATAATGGGCCAAAACATTCCACACTAACAAAGGAATGACAATTCAGTGAGAAAAGCACACCAAGTGTGTCCAAAATAAACAATAAACAAACAGATTATTCAAATAGGAAAGACAGAGTTAATGAAGAAATTAAACATGGGTGTAGAAAATGGAAGGAAGTGATTTTCTTTATTTTTTTCTTAATTTGGGGGCTTTAATATTTTTATTTTAAGATGCTACATAGTCAGACAGAATTGGATTGGTATTTTATGTTGTAAAATTAATTCACAGTCAGACTTCCATTAGCAGTAGGTGGATCAGCTAGGATCCGTCCTCCCTTACCTCTGCCAGCCAGCACGCCCACTTGGGTCCTCAGCCAGGGACCCAGGCGGTCAGGACAGAGGCGGGCCTGCACTGGAAGTCAGAGTGGTGGCTAAGAGCGGTGGAAGAACTATCTAGAAGAACGCCCACTCTTGTCTGTTTAAAAATGGGTGACTCAGAGTGGAGCTTTACCACTAAGACTCTCCCTTCCCAAGAGCTGTTGCTGACTGATGGAGAACGCCCAGCCAGGAACCTCGGTGCCCAGCAGCACGGGCAGCCCTGCTTGCTGGCTGCTGTGATTTTCTAACAAGAAGGAAGATGCTGAATGATGTCACACCTCATCAACTAACAAATATAAAGAGTAAAATGTTTATTTTTAATTTTTAATACATTTTTATTGTAAAAATACTGTACAGAGGGGTTACAGTTACATGAGCAAGGTAATGAGTACATTTCCTATCAAGAATTGTTGCCTTCTCCTTTGATTTTCCCCTACCATCCCTTCCCTCCCACCTCCATAACTACACTCTCCCTCCCCCTCTCCCTGCCTAAATTGTAAAGTTCGTTTTTCAACATAGTGTCTTGTGCATCTCATTGTTGCAATGAGTCAACCTGTATTCCTATTTAAGCACTTTGTTTTTTCCCTTCCGGTCCCCGATTAGAGAAGTGGATATACAAGATGCAGGACACCGATATCAAATACACTGAAAACAGGGGTTATTCCGTGGGGGAGGAACATACAAAGAAACAAAAAAAATCACATGGTACATTATGAATATGTTAGAAACAATAGCAAGAAAGAAAAAAACCACTTGTGTCCCTATCTTGGGGTTCATTTTGCTAAACATCATCTTATCTGGTCATATGTACATAGCTTTTGACCTTTTCTGCTTGTTCCAGACATACTAGTTATTTAGAATGAGGGAAACCATGTGATCTATGTTTCTTTGGGCCTAGCTTACTTCACTTAATACAGTTTTTTCCAAATCTTTCCATTTCCTAACAAATGGGGCAATGTCATTCTTTCTGATGGAGGCATAGAATTCCATTGTACATATGTGTGTGTGTGTGTGTG